TGGTGTTGGGTCGACGGTTGGACTCGATGATCTTAGAGGTCTTTTCCAACCTCAATGATTCTATGATTCTATTCAGACATGAGGCTGCGGAGAATGAAAAACCAAGCAGGCTCAGAACAAAGGCAGCCTCTCCCTTGTTCAGACAGTGACCTGACACCTTGAAGCATTAAGGCCTTCTACCTCCTGATCAGGAAATCTGATTAAAATCCAGACTTTATGGCGTAGCCTGTTGATGGTTCTCTGGGTATTGGCAGGAAGAGTGCAGAGCAGGAGACAAAGTCTCCCACCATTCAAAACCTGGACAACAACTACAACCTCAGACTTCGGTTTTGCAGAAGCATTTCAGGTTCCTGTGTAATAAAACTGAAAGCCTTTCCAGGACAAGCACCGAGTTGTGGTGTGATGCCAAACTGCATCCAGCAATGCAGGAGGGGGACGCAGGAGCTGCTCTGGAAGCAGCAGTGACAGTGAACCACAGGCTGCATGCCCTGATGTGGCAGCTGCTGATGCAAGCTGCTTCCCGGCGCTTTTAACTTCATACAACAACTATGTTGTACAAACGACTGATGAATTACTGAACAATTTATCAAATATCAGTAATGATACATTGCGTGTGAGGGATTGCATACTTTGCTTAAGCAGTTATATTTATAACATAAATATTTATTTATAGTTGTGTATGTGCTTGGGAGGGAGTGGGTGTTCAGACAGTTATTTTTGATGTCTCCAGAAACTACTTACTGGGGTGGAGCAAAAAAGACTAGGTCTCCTGGCAGTTTATTCTGTTCCTCATGGCTGCAGATAGAGGGTAAGAGGTCTCGTGCTATTTGGTCCCACATAATGGTTCCTCAAGGATTAAAAAATGCATGAGAACATGCATTTAATTAATGCAATTAAAAAAGGCAAAAGCACCAGTGCAAAGATTTTTAGATTCTTTGGAACTCCAGAGACAGGGCACCAGTATAATACAGTATGCATTGAAGAAGATTCCTACGTCTACCATGCCTCACTGTAGCATTTATTTACCCAACTGCTTAAGTACATTTTGAAACCGGTAATGGCTCATTTAATATTCTTTTCTTTTACTCTTTATTATCTGCTTTTTTACCAATGACAGCTTGAGTACACTTTATTTGTACCCACAAAGTCATCAACAGAAGAAACTCAGCTCCGTAACTATGGCATCTACAAACAACAGCCAGCTGATAATTAATCCATACCTATTCAGAAAATTAACTCTGATTACTCAAAACATTTTATTGAAAAAGCTTCAATCGAGAACATTTAGTTTACTGACACAAATGGAAATACAGCAATGAACTAAATCTGAGCATTTAGCCGATCAGAACTTCTTCCAGCTATTTGATACTGCACCTGTTGCTTGCTGGTGCATCAGCGATCGATTTGGGAGAAAAGTTAACACACAAGGTTTAAGAAGTGTGTAAGGGGAAAAGGGAGGGAGGCAGGAGGCAAGGCTGATAAGGGGATCTTTTGCAAAGAAGACTACTCAGTAGCAAAGGAGTAAGTTTAGTAAGAGGGGAACTATCCACCAAAGATCTGGTTTTGCATGGCTTACTGTAGCATAGCTTCTGTACCTTGAGGTAGGTGGAAGATACTCAAATCCCCTTCCCCTTCCTTCTTTTAACTTAAAAAAAAGTTCTCTGCCAGCCTAGGCCTACTCTGAGTCACTCCTGCAGAAATTCCCACCTAAATTCCGGAGATTTTCAATACCTTTGGAGGATGTGAACAGTTTCGTAGCCAGAGCTGTAAGAAGGAGCCCTGATGCTCTGTGACCTGGCTAAAGGTGGAGGTTAAACCTTGGCAAAGGAAGAGCTCCCCAGGAAACAGTTTGCCTGAACCATGCAAGTTTTCCAGATCTCTACAGCACATTCAGACTGTCTTAGTGAGAAGCCCAGCACAGTTGACACCCAGCTCGGAGTGCCGTGGCTGCTTCCAGCCACCCCATGTGCATGCAGCCAGCTCCTGGCTGCACACTGCCTGTGCTCCCTGTGCCAGTGCCTGGGACGCTGCAGCACAGATCACACAGTTAATTGAGCCGGAAAGGCGTTTTTATTTCTTTCCACAAGTTGAGCTTGCAGCCATGCCGGCCCCCTCATCTGGCTCCCCTGCCTTGGGCCTGGTCCAGCACTCAGCCAACCATGTGCTCAGCCATTAAATTAACAGAAAATTCCCCCCCAAGAAGTGAAGGCTAACCAGGAGTTTGTAGTTATCTCTACCAAGAGTGTCCTATTTTGTGCTCATGAACACGCACTCCCAGCGGTACAGCTGAGTGGGCAAGGTGTTCACCAGGATGGCCAAAACCCAGGTCTAAGTCTCTGCTGTCACGGTTTTCTAAAAGTTACAAGAAGTCAAACATGGGAAACTATTTCCCCCAGATGACCCAACATTAGGAGAATGTGGCCTGAGATATGTAGAGCAAGAGCTTAACCTTGTGTTTTTGAAATCTCTGCTGCACATTAAGTTCACCATTTGCTCTTGGTTTGTACAATAGCCCATCTGGAATTGCATCCTGATGCAAAAAACATCTCTCAAACAAACATTTGCTGAAATTGGTAAGAATTGCAATTAGATTGTAAAGTTGCCCTCTCAGAGCTGCATTTTCCCCTAATTTTTTTCACTGGAAGTTAACTGATGAGCTATGCTGGAAAAACTTA